AAGATGAAGCAAACTTAACTTCACTATGAGCAAGTAATTTGAAAGCAAACACTCAGTCATATTTTGGACCTTCCTGTGTATACTTAGGCGGTTGATAGTCAACAGAGTGGGATTTAATATAATTTTTTAGTGCACAGGTCCCTTACAAGAAATAATATTTGTTTGGGGATCTCTATAAAATGTCTTATTTTTAAGTATTTGATTTTAAAACCTACTCAGGCATGATTTCATATTTTTGTATATCTTAGAAATTCATTTAAGTTCTATATAAAAATTGTTAATGATTCTTGTTGAGGATGGAAGTGCAAATGAACTGCAGATATATGTCAGGGAAGACAAATAATACATCTGTTCCCTTGAGTTGACTCTTTAAAGCATATAAAAAAAATTATCACTCAAAGTAAAAGTATTACTATAAAGAGAGACATAAATCCAGGAAAAGGAGTATTTGGGAGTTAATAAAATGAATATGATAATGGTCTGAACCAGTTCACAGTTTCAGATTACCCATAAAAGCTAAAATGGTGTACATGATTTAATGAACACCATTAAACAAGGTGTTAAACCTGGATTTTTATGGTATTATAGATATTATTGTTATTGTTACTGTAGCTCATTATTTATATATGTAATTATTTAATTATTTAATTCAATCTTTTTTTATTACTGAAAGAACAATTGGTTTCAATCATACCAAGTAACAAAGTTTCTTACTACATTATGTTTTCTTAATCCAAACCTGACCGACAGGCATGGCTTGTAAATATATGCCATGCCCACTGTGATTTTACTTTATTAATTGTTTTTACACATAGATAGCTACACTTGTACTAAGCCAACAATGAGCCAATTATGAGTATTGTTTGTGAAGATCAATATAGCATAATTAGACTGAATGGTTTTCTAGTATGTTAGTTGTAGAAAATATGATTTTATTTTTATTTATCAGTATCTTTCTATATACAATCAGCTGAAGCAACGCCAATTGTCAGCTTTAGAGAAGACTGTGATGCGCGAAGGCTCTGTTGATGTTCAAGCATTCTATAAAAGAGCAGTTCAACATGTATGGACAAGTCTTCAGTTACAGGTATGTTTCTCTCCCTTTCCAACTCTCATTCCAAAGGTGATATTTTACAAAACAGTTAAAGTAAGAGTAGTCATCAGATGAAGTGTTAGAGTGTGTGTGTTTAAACGTTTGAAAGGGGTCAGTATTTGTTCAGAATTCGATATAAGAGTCAAGTAAAAAGGGGAGGGTAGTGTGTATTGTGATCTCTAAAATTTCTGACCAGACTTGAGTTACTATTATAAGGATATAGATATGCATACAAAATGTTATGTACATTTGTCACTGTAAATAGTGTGCATGAGTAGTCTCCTGCACATTGAACAGAGAAACACCTCTCTGACCTCAGGGTGTTTTGCTCTGATGGCAGAACCAGAAGTGTACATTTCTGGAATGTAATTATTAAAGGAGATAAGTTATGTATCAATAGGTGTCAGTCCCTTACAGAATAGGACACAAAAGTGTTGAATACGTACTGTTAAGATGCTGCTGACTTTCTTTTTCTAAAGGAGGCAGAAGACATCCTGAAGGAGGGTGATACAGCCATGGTGAGGCAACTAGTTGCTCATATTACCAAAGATGATATCAAGATACTAAAGCAGTATCTGGAGACTCAGAATAATATCCTTCAGGTGAGAGCACAATTATCACATTGTTATATCTTAATGCTAGATGTCATCAGTCAATATTAATATGAGCTAAGAGTTTAGTTATCAGAAAGATTGGATAACTATTTCAAAGTTCTTGAATATCAGACTTAAATATGGTCTTCTTTTTAGGTTGATGAATTCCTGACAAATGCATTAGTATTAGAGAAACCACCGCTTGTGGAGCCACGTAATGTTATTGCCTTCTCTCTGGAGTGGATTACATCTGTCTTTGAAGTTGGGAAAAATGTTGAAGTAAGTTAAAGTTCTCCTAAGGTTTTGAAACATTTTAATATGAATAATAGTTTGTGATTATACATTGTAGGCATAATTGTATATCTGTATAGAACATATGAGTACTGTGACGTTACCATTCAACAAAGTATAACATAGATTGCCACATTAATAGTATCAGAGATTCATATGTGCTAAGAAAAATAAGATATATATCCATATTCTGCAGGTGTGGTTGTACTCTTTGTGTGCCTTATTTATTCTTCTGGCAATATGGGCTGTGTTCTTATTTATTCGAGACATCCAACGAGAGCTGCGTTGGACACGAGTGATTGGGATGATGATCGTCATCATTTTCTTCATCTGCTGCCTGTGGCATTGGCGTCACATGCACAAGGTTTGAGTTTCACAGAAGTGTGCTGTAATTAATGGATGTAATTTTTTTTTTTTTTTTTTTTTTTTTTTTTTTTTTTTTTTTTTTTTTTTTTTTAAGATTTAGAGATTATTTACATCAGATGTCTTATGATATAGATAATTTTCATATTAACCCAGTGCCACTTGGCATGGCATGTATGTACATGTCATACCCACTGTTAGTTTTCATAATTAATTGTTTTTAAACATAGATGGCTACACTTGTTCAAAGTCACCAATGAGCCAGTTATGAGTACTGCCTGTGTCACCTGTTTACCCTTTTCCTTGATTTTCGAAAATGTTTTACATTATCTTATATTACTGTTACTAAGGTCTATAACATTATAGTAATTATAATTTCTATAATAAAAAGAACACCATCAATATTTGTAGCATTAGTAAAAAAAAAAAAAAAAAAAAAAAAAAAAAAAAAAAAAAGTCAATTCAAGGAAATGTGAAATCAGGTAAGGTCACAAGGTCTACTAATTGACTCCTTGTGGCTAAGTACTTGCAGAGACATTTCACACACACACACGCACAAAAAAAATGAGCGCATCATTTTCCCTCTGGCATTGGGTTAAGTTTAGAGAAGCTTCATCTCATTAGTTGAATAATACATTTTTATAAGTGGTGTTTTATAGTTGCAAAATTTACATGTATTGTATTCAATTTTGCATCAGAGTTCACCTTTCAAACATCTTTCTCTTTTCTAGGTAGCCGAGTCTCGTCGCCATGCTCAGATGGCTAAGCGAGGTTATTCAAATATCCCAGAAGAATGCAAGCCAGGTGGAAAAAGCACAACAGGCAGTGTTTGGAGTTGGGTTAAAGTATCAGTGTTTGGGGCACCAGATGTGTGTGAACAGTAAGTAGATGTGACATTTGTTTCAATAGCTTTTTCAATATAGCATCAGGCACAGTAAGGTGTCAGGGCAATTCTGTTATAGAACTTTTATAAAGATAACAGTGTTGTAGGTCAAACAAAGAATTGCACATTTTTTCTTTCTTTTTTTTCTATGTTGATATGCATTGTAAGAAAATTCAATTAAATGTTTAAATACTAATTTTAATATGTATTTTGAATCAGTTGAATATTGCATAAAATCAGACAGATTGTAATACATTTGTTCAAATAGCATTTTTAGAATAGAATTAATTCAGACGTATTATCTAGCAATTTTTTACTGGTTGGAGAAGACTTTCAGTACTAATTGGTAATGCTGTTTTACTAAGAATATATTTAATCACAAAGACTACTATGCCAAATTTCCTTTCAGATATTTTGAAGACTTGATGGTAGACCCCACACAGGAAATCACTCCAGGAATGGTGATTGCAGAAACTTTAAGCAAGTTTTGTTTTCAACCACTTCAGCACCTTGGCTCAGAGAGTGCAAAGTTTATTAATAACTTTTATAGTAAGTGATTTTTGGTGTCCTGAAAATCACGTTGATCACATTGTTTTCTTTAAAGCTGTTGTTTATTTCATATGAATCATAGTTTTGTTTCTTTGTTGTTGTTGATGTCAGTTTTCAGGTTTTATTCCTTAATTCCCCTACTCTTTACAGGTAACATCCCTGTTGTATATCACATCCCAGCCACTGCATTCTTTTTGTTACTGTTGATCATCATCCTTTTTGCCATGTGTGGGTATGGAATTGACTTTCCCCTGTGGATGGGAGGAATCCGTCCAATCTACAGAACAGAGACTGTGGATACTTCAGAACTTGATAAAATAAGGAGAGAGGTAGGTGTCCCCTTTCTTGTTTTTTCAACTATCTGCATTATGTCCAATGGGCTTTTTTGCATTTCAAGTTATTCCAACTGTTGTTCCTACTGCCTTCCTTTGCCTGCTGTGTTACCCCATATCCTACCTCCTTATGCAACAGTGTTACTGCCCTAACAATTTCATCAGCCCTTCATCACAATTTCAGAGGAGAGAAGTGATCAGATGTAAGTCATTTCCATATGTGCAAGTTCTCACAGTTTTTACAGTTCAATGCTGATGCTCATAGATTAACCAAGCTTTCTTCATTTTTATTCAAATGTTGATACTGACTTTGAAATTAGTGTTAGGTTTAATTGAATCTTAGAATCAATTACTGGCTACTGTTGAATATATCTAGCATATATATATATATATATATATATATATATATATATATATATATATATATATATATATATATATATATATATATATATATATATTCAACAATAGCTAGTAATTGATTCTAAGATTCAATTAAACCTAACACTAATTTCAAAGTCAGTATCAACATTTGAATAAAAATGAAGAAAGCTTGGTTAATCTATGAGCATCAGCTCATAGATTAACCAATGTGTGTATGTATATATATATATATATATATATATATATATATATATATATATATATATATATATATATATATATATATATATATATATATATATATATATATATATATATATATGTATATGTATATGTATATGTATATGTATATGTATATGTATATGTATATGTATATGTATGTATACAAACTTCTATGATATCATGCTTTGTAGTAACTGTGATACAACTTGAAACAATGCATCAAAGGGGTTAGGTGTTTTGAAATAAAGAAAATAAAACCAGACAATGAATATCTTCTAGCAAGGCTAATGCCAAAAATTTCATTCAGAAATTAGCCATTTTACTACATCTTTGTATGATATGTAAACTGTTTCCCAGAAAGTTGAGGTTTAGAAGTCCTTCTGGTGAGAATGCAAGATTTCAGTTGAAAGGTCTACCTTAAAAACATTAACCCATTGCCGCCAGGGAAAATGAACAAAAAATGGGGAGAATGCAGTACTCATTTTTTATATTTCTGTGAAATATCTCTGTCCATAGATGGCTCTTCTAGTCCTAATTTCACCTGTTCTTGAATTGGCGGGAAAAAACGTATTCTTACTAGTGCTATGAATATAGATGGTGTTATTTTTAACAACAAATTTGGATAACGTTAAATATTTTCATAAATCGATGAAAAGGGTAAATGGGCGAGACAGGCAGTACTCGTAATTGGCTCATTGGATACTTAGTACAAGTGTAGCCATCTATGTGTAAAAACAATCAAACAAGTCGACTCGCAGTGGACATGGCATGTATGTACATGCCATCTCCGGCGGCAATGGGTTAAAAAGTGAAATAAAAATCCAGACATTTAAGGTTATGATTTAATACTTGATTCTGTTTGTGCTATTTAGTTGTTGTTGTTGTTGTTTTTTTAGTAAGAGTATGCCATTTTTTTCTCTGTTGATAATATTTTCATAATAATACTAACTCTCTCACAATCAGTTGCTTTTGACAAATGGAAATTTCAAGAAGGTAAGTATAACTTATCAAAAGAGCAGTAGTGTATAAATAACTGGGAAAGATTCCAAAAGTTACTGAACTAGGCAAAGTAATGACTTGTGTTTAAATAATATTAGTTTACTTGCACTTCCATTGAGATTAAGGTGCTCACAAAAGTATTAGCAGTTTAAAAGTAGCCAATACAAGAACCTATACTCGTTCATTTTGAGATGATTGAACGCTGAATAGGAATAGTATTGCAGTCTCAACATTGTGCAACATAGCTGAGGAATCTCATAATATACATGTAGAGGTTGACTATTTCAGTGACTTTTAATTGTATTTTTTTTTGCTCCACTTAACACAGATTTTTCTTATTTGTACTCCATGAAAATAGTTTATCATTCATTTATCAATCTGATAATAACCTAGGTTAAGTATACAAAATAGTGTTGAAATATTTCTTGAATTATTTGTAGTAGAATATACACTTGTTAAATATGTGTGTGGGTGTGAATGTACATATAACAATGAAAAAGGACATGTTCGAAGAAAGACATTCACGTTTTTGTGTCTTTCAGAATGAATTAACCTCATAATTTATCATAGTTCAAAAATGCAAAACTATAAATGTGTCTTTTTAGAGAAAGCACTTGTTCTAGAATACTATGTCACTTAATTTCCTTGTTTCAATGAATACATGTTAGATATATCAAACTGAGCTAACAATTGCTTGAATTTTAGAGTTTTGTGGCAGAGTATCTCGTCAAAGATATTTCAAAATCCAAAGGTTAAAGTATACCAGAGGAATTAAGTATAAGGTTGAACAAAAGGCAACATTTAGCTTTTAGTAATTGGTGCCGAATTTCAAAATGAGTGAGCTCAGCAGATGAATAGATAAGTAAATAAAAATTATCTAATAGTTTTCTTTTATCACAGCCATGTAAATGTCACTGTTTTGTACACTGTACTGAATTGGTTGCTTATGCAGGTTAAAATAGTACAAGAAGGACCCATGGTTTGAAAGTCTAATTTTATCACTGGTTGGCAGGAGATTGAGATGTTATTTATAGGTACCAAATAAGTGTATGTTGGCTGAAGAAAAAACACACAGTAAGTTTGTGAGAGTTTCCAAAATGCAAATTGAGTGGGAAAGTGCTCGAGATATTTATATTTCAGTATTAAAACATGATGAATCTTCTCTTCTTGTCTTTTACAATAATAAAACAGTAGGGAAAAGGGAAGCTGAGGAGAATCAGGAATGAAGAGAAAGACACCCATCTGGTTTCATGTCTTTTTTTCAATGTATGTGACAATATTCTCTCTTTCACTGTTTTGTTCAGATGCAGAAAGACACAGAACTATTGATGAGTGAGGCACGTTTGATGCTGACTGACATGGCAAAAGCTGCATCATCTACACAGGTAACTATGTGTATGAGAGATGGAAAAAATTGTGAAATGGTTGGTTTTCTTCTTCATTTTTTGAAAACCCTGCATGGATTTTGTATTGCCAGTATGTTTTATAGATAGTAATTGTTTTTCATATTGAAGGACAGGGTGTTGGTCTCTTAAGTAGAATAGGTAACTTAGATATTTTGATTTGAATTTGTACTACATTTCCTGGTTGGTGCATTTAAAAAATATTTGTAGTAAACAAAGTAGGAATACTAACTAGACATTCTATCTTCTTGGAATAGATTCAGTGTCTGGAACTCACAATGACTCAGAAATTAAAAAAGTAAATGTCCTCAGGTAATACTGAATAGTAATTTCCATTATATTAATGGTACACAAGAAGTGGGGGACAGTTTTCTTCCTGAGATCATACCATCTTGATTTGCAGATAGTGTCGAATTCGATGGCTGGAAAGTGACATAGATATTTCCAACTTTAAGCCATTCACCTCAGCATTGGTAATCACTCTCTAGGTTTATCGGGGGGTTAATTCTTCCTGCGTTTGTTTAATTGGGGTTCACCTGTGCGGAAAAGAGAAATGTGTTGCTGATCGTTTTCCTTTTGTGGGTTTTCAAGTGTTACTAATCAAAACTGAAGTATTTCTCTGTGTCTCCTCTCTCTCTCTCTCTCTCTCTCTCTCTCTCTCTCTCTCTCTCTCTCTCTCTCTCTCTCTCTCTCTCTCTCTCTCTCTCTCTCTCTCTCTCTCTCTCTCTCTCTCTCTGTCTTCTCTCTCTCTCTTCTCTCTCTCTCTCTCTGTCTTCTCTCTCTCTCTCTGTCTTCTCTCTCTCTCTCTGTCTTCTCTCTCTCTCTCTCTGTCTTCTCTCTCTCTCTCTCTCTCTCTCTCTCTCTCTCTCTCTCTCTCTCTCTCTCTCTCTCTCTCTCTCTCTCTCTCTCTCTCTCTCTCTCTCTCTCTCTCTCTCTCTCTCTCTCTCTCTCTCTCTCTCTCTCTCTGTGTCTCCTCTCTCTCTCTCTCTGTGTCTCTGTGTCTCCTCTCTCTCTCTCTCTCTCTCTCTCTCTCTCTCTCTCTCTCTCTCTCTCTCTCTCTCTCTCTCTCTCTCTCTCTCTCTCTCTCTGTGTCTCCTCTCTCTCTCTCTCTCTCTCTCTCTCTCTCTCTCTCTCTCTCTCTCTCTCTCTCTCTCTCTCTCTCTCTCTCTCTCTCTCTCTCTCTCTCTCTCTCTCTCTCTCTCTCTCTCTCTCTCTCTGTCTCTCTCTCTCTCTCTCTCTCTCTCTCTCTCTCTCTCTCTCTCTCTCTCTCTCTCTCTCTCTCTCTCTCTCTCTCTCTCTCTCTCTCTCTCTCTCTCTCTCTCTCTCTCTCTCTCTCTCTCTCTCTCTCTCTCTCTCTCTCTCTCTCTCTCTGTCTCCTCTCTCTCTCTCTCTCTCTCTGTCTCCTCTCTCTCTCTCTCTCTCTCTGTCTCCTCTCTCTCTCTCTCTCTCTCTGTCTCCTCTCTCTCTCTCTCTCTCTCTGTCTCCTCTCTCTCTCTCTCTCTCTCTGTCTCCTCTCTCTCTCTCTCTCTCTCTCTCTGTCTCCTCTCTCTCTCTCTCTCTCTCTGTCTCCTCTCTCTCTCTCTCTGTGTCTCTCTCTCTCTCTCTCTCTCTCTCTCTCTCTCTCTCTCTCTCTCTCTCTCTCTCTCTCTCTCTCTCTCTCTCTCTCTCTCTCTCTCTCTCTCTCTCTCTGTGTGTGTCTCCTCTCTCTCTCTCTCTCTCTCTCTCTCTCTCTCTCTCTCTCTCTCTCTCTCTCTCTCTCTCTCTCTCTCTCTCTCTCTCTCTCTCTCTCTCTCTCTCTCTCTCTCTCTCTCTCTCTCTCTGTCCATCTGTACCTATTCCTTTTGTCTGTCATTAATAATTGATTAATGCATGTTTCTTTGTGTAGTTCTTGTAGTTTTAAAAGCTTGAATTCCTAATGCATTGGTGGTATAATAATTCTTTGTGAACAAATATATCAATAGAATTAAAGAAGACAATAGCCTCTACGAGTTGCTCCCCCCCCCCCACTCTCTCTCTCTCACTCACTCACTCACTTACTCTTACTTAGTCTATTAAGTTATCCCATCAATGCTGGATACTTGCACTTTCTACTACAGATTATGGTTTTATTTATTTTTTTACTTATCTATTTATATTTACATGTATAGGTCTCATAGCCACTGAGGAGTCTGTTGCTAAGCCTACTTGGCCTGACCTGTTTACCTCATTCCTATAATTTATTTTAGCATTATTTAAATTATTATTGTTGTTATGATGCTGGTAACAATAATATCATAGATTTTTTTCCTTGACTAAAAATTCAAGGAATGGGGTAAATCAGTCTAATTTAGTCCCAGTGATTGGCTATTTGGTGATTAAGCATTTGTAGGGATATGTAAAGAAATAATAAATAGATATAGTGGATAGTGCAAGTATATATGCTTTTCCTAAAGTCAACAAGTTAAGATTGTACTTGAGCCAACCAAAAGCAAAACAAAGCAAGAAAAGCCCTTGTATCACTTTTGAACCAACTTTTTCATACTGTACCTTTCCACTAAGTATCTCCCAGAAGCAGTGAAGCAGCTTTAGATTTAAATATTCACTAAATGTCATCTTATAACTTGAAGAAACCTCCTTATTAAGAAATTTAGAACTGTTGTAGTAAAGTATCATCCCATATATTGTTATTTATTGAAATGCTAATACTTTCTTCTTTTTCTCCATTCTTTATTAGGGTGTAACACAGCCCCTCCTTGTGATGTCATCTGGGATCATTGAAACAAAACTTGAGCACCTGATTTCACAGCATTTCTCAAGCATCCTCTCTAGTCAAGAGAAATCCGCTAACACCTTAGCAGTAACATCACCAATACAAGGTGAAGCATCTCTTAATAACTCAGGCATTTATAATGTAACATCAACACCTATTGGAAGGAATCCAGACTCCAAAGAAATGGACAGGAATACTGAAATCAAATCAGATAATGAAATAAAGTTGACCAGGCAACCCCAAGATGCAAAAGATCAGACTGATGCTGACCACTGGCACTTGCAAGGAGCCAGACCAAAGGATTTTACTCCAAAGGAGAAAAGAGCATCCAATATTTCAAGACTATTCTTTGATGAATCGAGTTCGGATAGACAGAAGAATGTAACAGAAAAAGAAAATATCTCTTTGAACACTAGCAGAGAAGCAAATGTGAGGCCAGCTTCCAGTCTTTCCAGGAGTCTCAATAATAGTCAAATGTTTAATCAATCTAGAGACTATAGTGGCTTGGATGACAACTCTTTTGAGACTTCAGATGAAGTTGATAACACCAGTGCAAGGAGTGGAAGTTTCCTAGACCAGGTCAAGAAGATATTGGAGGAGTCTGTGAACTCTAATGCCAATGATAGCATTCCAATGACCAGCTTGAATGCTTCCCGTAGTGGCACCAGGGAGTCTCCAGAACCAGAGGAAGAGCATGAAATGGAGCTGAGTTCATCAAATGGGAAGTTTCTCAGCCAGATAAAGAGAATTATGACACCATAACAATACCTTTCACACTTTCTACTTAAAAGTTTGTAATGTGTGTGTGCATAGGTTTGTGCAGATCTATAAGACTGAAAGAAAGGGTATTTACCGGATTTTTTTAGATTTATTTTATTACCAGTTAACCAAAGTACTGAGTGTGAATTGATTTTTTTTTTTTTTTTTATGTGATGCAGTGTATATATATGTATGTATATATGATCTATGATTAAAATGTTTGTATATTTTTCTTGAAATTTTGTTAAAAAATATTTTCGTTGATGGAGATGCATATATGTGTATATATATACATACATACATATATATATATATATACATACACATACACATACACACACACACACATACACACACACACACACACACACACACACACACACACACACACACACACACACACACACACACACACACACACACACACACACACACACACACACACACACACACACACACATACTTAGAATTGTTCAAAAATAAAATACACACTTAGAATTGTTCAAGAATGGATTGAGTATAATTGTTTGTAAAACTATTGCTTTAATCACGAGTTCACTCTTCATTCAGATTATGCATTTATTTTCTAAAATTATTCTTGGAATAAAATGGATTTGATATCATTGTCATTTTAAATTTCCATCAGATATATAGATATGTCCAGTCTATCAGTTTGTGAATATCTGGATTACTATTGCTTGAAATTTATCAAAACACAGCAAATTAATTAGATTGATAAGTGAATAGTCTAATTTATCAATTACATAATGAAAAAAGTTTGATATAGGTTTAGGTGAACATATCCTTATAACTTGACTGTTAAGAAGTATGGCTACAAATGGGCTGTAGTGTTAACAAAATATATGATTAAATCTGTGGCAAGCATATATTTTTTTTTTTTTTTTTTTTATTATTATTATTATTATTATTATTATTATTATTATTATTATTATTATTATTATTATTATTATTATTATTATTATTATTATTATTATTATTAATAATAATTCACAATTATGGTGTGGGGCAGCATATATATGTATGAATATATCATTTAGATTTTTTTTTAATGTATATATTTTTATTGGAATTTTATTTAAATATATTTTTGATGAAGAAGTAGATGTGTGTGTGTGTGTGTGTGTGTGTGTGTGTGTGTGTATATATATATATATATATATATATATATATATATATATATATATATATATATATATATATATATATATATATTTGGAAGTGTTCAAAAATAAAATATACACCTAGAAATGTTCAAGAATTAATTGGGTTTAGTTTAGTTGTAAAACACATCTCCATCTACCTTTGCCTCTACTACTCGGACACCAGTACCCCCTCCCCCCCCCCCCTCATAAGAAAACCTTTGTCTCACAAAACTCCCCAACCAATTGCTTTACAGAAAAATCTTGAAGGTATTCAAAACTATCTACTCCAGTCCCAAATTGACACCAAAACTCCTCATCCACCCTCAAAGTCCACAACTCCCACTCCCTCCATACTTAAAGTGACTACCGATATCCATCCTCCTCCTGCTCATATTCCCTCTACACCCCTTCCTCCTACTCCCTCCCAATACAGCCCATTCCCCCAGACTACAGCCCCACCTACATTAACCCTCCCACCATCCCCTCTATCCCTTCCTCTCCCTCCTGGATAAACACGTGAATCCCTTATGTCACAACTATCCCCTTCCCCAGATCTTCCACCTCCTGATACAATACCACATCCCCCCTCTCATTCCTTATCTCACCCCCTATCTCCTTTCCTTTCAAATTCTCCAACACGCACTATAACCGTTATCACTCATAAATCAACTAAAGTATAACTATCCTTTATTGGAATATTCGTGGTTTCCGTTCTCACAGACCCGACCTTCGTCATATCTTTTCCTCATATAACCCATCCATTATATGCCTTCAAGAGACCAATTCCCATTTTGTCTCGTCCTCACACTCCCTTTATGTCTCGTTTTAACTTATCAATCGGAAAACACCTTATGTCATACCTCCCCTTCAAACCACTCTCCCTTGCACAGTTATTAGCATCTTTCTTCACCACTGGATCACGGTGATTTCAGTCTACTTCTCCCTTTCTCACCCCATTGACTGTGTTGCCTTTGAAAATCTAATTTTCTGACTCTAACCACCCTTCCTCATAGTTGGTGATTTTAACTGCCGCCACACTGTTTGGGGTGATTCTATCACCAACTCCCGTGGCCATCACAAGAGCGCTTCCTCTCCACAGCTGACCTTATTATTCTTAATTCAGATCGCCCCACACACTTTGATATACGCACGCAATCTTTTTCATGCATTGACCTCTCTCTTTGCTCCCCTTCTCTTCATTTAGATTTCCATTGATCAGTTCTAGACCACTTCCCCTATATTGACCACTTTCCAGTTCTCCTTTCTCCTACTTCATATGTACCACTTCCTAACGCTGGTACTTTGATAGAGCCGACTGGCGTACTTTCACTTCACTCTCTGCTATTACTACCACTCCATCCTCCTTCTCGTCCATTTCAGATATGATACAATGTTTCACAACTGCAGTCCTAAGAGCTGCTCATGCAGCTAGCTATTCCTCGAACATCAAGACCCTACATCTCCAAATGTATTCCATGGTAAAATTCCGATTGCACTAAAGCCCTTCGCTTAAAACGTGCAACCTGGGAAAGTTACCGCTATAAAGGAGACACCCCTAATCAACTATCAGCCCTTAACCTCCTTTAAAAGAGCATCCGCCTATCTTCGTCGTACAATCCGCAATAGTAAAACAAATAGCTGGCGAATTTGTTTCCTCTATTATATCTACAACTATCTCGGCTGGATCCATAAACTATCACTTAAACACCCCCCCCCCATCCAGCCTCCGTCCTCCATATTCGAGATCCTCTCATCTCTGATCCCCCCCCATCCCTTGTCCGTTGTTGTCATGGGGGGGGGGGGGGCTGGGACCCAATTCTGGGGAACTCCCCTCCCTCGACTCAACTAATGTTGCATGGTTCTTTTCCCCTCCTGCTTTTTCGTTTCCGTCTTTTCCCAAACCTTATCAACTTCCTAAGGTGTGAGAGCCGTGCTGAAAGGATGAAAGGCTGACTTTGTGCTAGTCTTGAATGGCCTGAGGGAGCCATGGGCACGGTATTCCCCGGTTTTAGTTGTCTAGCCCTTATCCCTCAAGGGTAGCCTGAGAGGTGGACTGATTCTTTCCCCAACATACTCCAGGCTTACCATGGCCAACAATGATGATGTTATTCCACTATTTGAGGCATTGAGGCTTGCCCCTTCATCAAATAGCCCCACCAATTCAAACTATCCCGATTCCCCAACCCCAGGCTGTCCTTTGCCACGGCTCCGAACGCTGCAACTACTACCCCCTCCTCAATGCTTACTAGTACATTATCCACCCAAGTCAACATTCAATCTCCAGGAGATATTCCTACTCTCCCAACATGCCCAACTTCATTACAACCCCAGGCTCCCCTTTGACCACGACTCTGAACACTGCAACGACTACCCCCTCCCCAATGCCTACTAGTACATTATCCACCCAAGTCAACACTCAGTCTTCAGGAGACATTTCTACTCTCCCAACATGCCCCGCCCCCTGACCCCCTCTATCTACGCCACTGGTGGCATTCATCACAAATTTTCTGGCAGGTGAAATTTCTCTTCCTCTTTCACTCGGGCAGAAAATTTGCAGCCCCCCCCCCACCTAATTTTTAAATGCCCCTACGCCGATGCCCAGTGGTCGTCGTAAGAACCCCAGCAACATTGCCAAAATTACTTTCCGTAGACGTGACCTTCCCTTTAATGTCCGACTATATCAACCTCCTCCCCGCCAGTGCCAAAACTGTTGGCGTTTAGGGCATCCCGTCGGACATTACCGTTCCACAGCCAGATCCCCTCTCTGAACCCTACCTGACCATACTCGATCAAACTGCTCTGCATAGTCACGCATATGTGCCAACTGTGTCGGCCCCCATAATGTATTTTATAGGGGCTGCCCCACTTACAAATTTGAGTCTGAGGTGGAAACTCTCAGATTCAGACTTGGACTCGCTCTACGTGAAGCCAGACAGGAAGCACATCGACAATGTTTTTCTCTTACTCCCTCCTCCTGTAATGTCGCTCGCTCTGCCCCTCCCTCTCCCTCCGAAGACGTTCCTACACCCTCCCCTATACCTATCCCTCCTTCATCTTACTTCCCCACTTCTACCTCCTACCTTCCCCAATCAAATTCTTTTGCCATTCTAAATCGAGACACTCCAATCTCTACTGCACCCCCAACTTCCCCTCTCCCTCCCCGCACTACCCGCAACAGACATATCAAGCGTTCCACCCCTTCTTCTCCTACCACACACTCACCTCCACCTACTTTTGCCTCTACACCTCAGACACCAGTCTCCTCCCCTACCACTCATAAGAAAACTTTTGTCTCACAAAACTCCCCAACCAACTCCTTTACAGAAACTCTTGAAGGTAATCAAAACTATCTACTCGAGCCCCAAATTGACACGGAAATCCCTCATCCACAGATTCAAACTAGGCCTCACTCCAGACATGAAACAAACTGGCAAGGTTTTTCTCTTTCTACCAATTCGAAAACTGTACTTTGCTCCGCTCCTCTTATATCTTCTCAAGGAGTCTCAGCATCTCACCGTATCTCTTCCCTCTACCCCAAACCATCCTGTCTCCCCCAGTTAAATTCCTTTGTCGTTCTAAATCCAGATACTCCAATCTCTATCACTTCCCTGGTGCCTACCCCTCCTCCTCAATCTATCTGTCGCACCAGACAATCTAAACGTTCCATCCATCCCCTCCTTCACCCACCTCTCCCTCTGCTCTTCAGACATCCCTTCCCTCTTCTCCACCTTTGTTTCTCAGACCTCCCCACTCAACTCCCCTCCAGAAACTCTTGAAGACATCCAAAACTTCCTAAACATGACACAAGAGAATACTCCACTCCCTCATCCACCCTCTATTACTATTCACTCTGCATACAAAATATTTGCTGATATCCATCCTCCTCCTCAAATTTCCCTTACCCATCTCCCCCCCCCCCCATATTACCCTTTCATTGTTTTATAATGGATTTTTTGTAGTTTTCCTCATACAGTGTTACTCGCCTTTCTTAAGACACATACTCTCCATTTGATCTGATTGATCTATATCTTTACCCCTTCTTTTACAAATACCCACCGTATTCCATTTGCTCCTCCTCTGTACCCTTTTCACTACCATTCTGTCCTACAGCATTCTACAACCTTAGACATCTAACACATCTTATCCTGATCGTTAACTCATTTCCACCCTTTTCGCCACAGTGCTTTACCAAAATGCTATATGATCTTTGATGTCTAGCACATTTATTTTGAGTGTGTGTGTGTGTGTGTGTGTGTGTGTGTGTGTGTGTGTGTGTGTGTGTGTGTGTGTGTGTGTGTGTGTGTGTGTGTGTGTGTGTGTGTGTGTGTGTGTGTACGTATATATATGTATGTATATATGCATATATATAAATATATATATATATATATATATATATATATATATATATATATATATATATATATATATATCATAGATACACACACATATATATAAATGCA